GCGCAAGGCAGTGTCATGCAGTGCAGAGCGCGAGGCTCGCACGATCGAGCTCGTGACCAGGGACGGCGGCGGCGGGCAGCGCCGGGCGGCCGCAAGCCGGGCGGGCCGACGCCCAGGCCCTGTGACCAGGGCAGGCCAGCCACAACTGGGAGAGCTGTGGTCCTTCGCCCTCTGGGGGAGGAGGAGGAGGGGGAGGAGGAGGGGAGGAGGAGGAGGAGGGGGAGGAGGAGGAGGAGGAGGAGGAGGAGGAGGAGGAGGAGGAGGAGGAGGAGGAGGAGGCCCATCGATTTCGACGCCCCTCTCGAGAGGTCGTCGATGTGATGGGTTCCCCCAGAGGGGGCAAGGACCACGGCTCCCCCAGTTGTGGCTGGCCGGCAAGGGCGGCGGCGGCGGGCGGCGACGAGCGGCCACGTGCCGACCTGAGCGAGAACCGGGCCCGGTTCATTCCGGAGGGAGGGGGTCACCCAGTTGTCACCCAGCTTGCCTGGGGCCAACATGCAGCCCGTCTCCAGTATGGACCCAGCCTTTCTCGCGAGAGACTGTTCAGTTGCCTTTACGCTTTACGCTCTGCCTGCTCCAGATTTCGTAATAAAAGGGAGGGGGTCTGGACCCTCCAAGACAAGCCATTTCAGACCTCCCCCGTGGGAGAACCCTCCAAAGCATCGTCCCCAGACCCCCCAGGCCCTCCAAGATGGCCTGGAAGAGACCCCCCCCCGAAATGAGACCCCCCTCCCTTTCTTACGAAATCTGGAGTAAGGACCCAGGGCCGGACCTGCGCGGTGTCTTTGGCGATTCCGTGGGCCGTTTTCGTTTCGACTTCGTGTTGTGGTAAGGGCGGGTTCGAGGCAAAAGCGAGGGAAACCGAAAATAACAAAACGAAAACGAACGACACCGTTTAGGTTCAGCCCTGTAAGGGCCCTTAAGCGCACGCCCTGTTTAGGGAATTCACACGCGTTCGCACGTGCATGCTCAACCCAACTGAGCGGTAACGCAACCACGCATGATCGCACTCAGCAGCGCAGAAGCTGATCCACAGTGTGTCCGATCAGTGTTCATTCGTTTTGGCGATCTGGATTCGTCAGTCACTCATCCCGTAGTATGCTTGGCATCTTCAACCCGAATTGCCTCGCAACAGTCAGGACGGCATGCGAAGACAGACGTACGTCGCCGTCGATTGACGTCTTGCTGGCTACTGCAATGCAATGCAGTGCTCAAGTTGCGCGAGGTCTCTGCCGCTGTATTCGAGCGATGCTCTGATGTAAAGTGCATGAATTGCATGTAGCTGATGTTTAATTGGCTCCCCGTTCAAGCGGGCAGCTCTGAGGCAGCTATGTTCCGTAATTCAGCCGCTAGCGCGTGTGCTTGAGGTTGTCACCGTTTGTACGCATGTTCATTTGCCTATGTGTCTTCTGTCGTTCCCCGTGCCCTATCAAACGCATGCCCCCTCCGCCAGGTAATTTAGGAGCGCGGGGTGAGCGTAGCCTCGGCAGGAGCACCACGCAGGCAGACATGGGGAGGCGATAGATGCCGGAGAGGATCTGGTGTATTATGGGAGCGAGTCCCCAGCTAGGGAGGGAGGGGACGAGGGAGGCGAAGGGTGCAAGAGGGAGGGGAGGTTGAGGAGAGGAAGGTGGGGAGGAAGGAGGGAGCGAGGAGGAGGAGGAGGAGGAGGAGGAGGAGGAGGAGGAGGAGGAGGAGAGCGAGATGGAGGAGGAGGAGGAGGAGGAGGAGGAGGAGGAGGCATTTCCTGCCCCGGCCCGCTCCCCTCCCCTCACCTCCCCGCCCCTCCTCCTTATCCCATCGATGTTCATATGTTGTATTTTCCCTCCGCTCTCCGACACACTTCTTTCCCACGCCCTTGTTTATCCCTTCTCTTCCCCTTCTCTCCTCCTTTCCCGTGTCGTTCGCCTCGCCCCCAGCTTTCATGTTTGATCCTCGTTGTTATTCTCCCGCCACGTCACCCATCCTGCGCAGTTTGCAGACTGCATACTGCTCTCGTAGCCGCCCTGATACCAAGCGGGTGTGCCCCCTCCCTCCGCCCCCTTCGCCGAGGGACCCCCGACCAAAGGATTCCACCTCTGGTATTTCATATTGGTGCTTCGGCCAGAAGGTTCTCGGCCCTTCAAGAAGGGTGCCCTCGCCGCAGCGCTCGCCGGATGTCCGGATCGGCGCGTGGCTCCCGTCGTTTCGACTTGGTGCTTTCGCCCCAGCGCGTGCCGCAGTTTTGGATCGGAGTGGATTCCTCGTCGTTGCCGACCCTTGTCTTTCCCCTCCGCCTTCCGACTGTGCTCGTTCTGCTCCTGCTCCTCCCGTTGCCGGTCCATCTCCTCCTGCCCCATCCTCATCCTCATCCTCCTGCTCGTCCTCGTGCTCGTCTGCCACCTTCTCCTCCGCCAATCTGCAGCGTCCAACCGTCTGAATACGTATGACACGATGAGGAGCAAGGTCCTCTGGACACCCCGCGGGCACAAGAGGTCAGCGCCGTCTATGTCGGATATGGCGTATGTCAGATGTGGCGTCAGGTCACCTGGCTTGTCGAATCCCATCTCCTCCCCCTAATGTCCCCTTCTGCCTGCCCAGTCTATCTTCACTTTCCTTCTTTCTCCTTCTTCATCTCCTCCCCTCCCCACTCCCCCTCTTTATCAAGCCTCCATACCGCCCTTCTTCCTGCCCTCCCCTCCCTATCACCTGCCCATTCCCCGCCTCCTCTGCCTCTCTCGCCACCTCCCTCCCCTCTGCACATTCCTCATTTCTGCCTTCTCCCCCCCCTCCCTCCTTCTTCCGTCCCTCCACCCCTCCAATCCCCGTCCGCCCCCCGCCGCTGAAAGCCGACGCCCAGCGCCGTCTCGGAACGCGGTGTGACCGGGATATTCCGAGGGGAGCCCCTGGGCGTGGGCGACGGAGGAGGGGCGCCCCCCAAGGGGACCCTAGGGAGGCAGAGAGACGTGACACGATTTTCCTCTGGAAACGGCTCGCCCCTCGCAGCCCATCTTCCCAGCGCCCGCCCGAGCCTCACAGCCGCACCCCCAGCAGAAGGCAGCCAAGATGCTGAAGCGAGGAGCAGCTCGGGTTCGGAGGGGGCCGTCGCTGTTCCTCCAGGGCTCGCGTTTCCTCCAGTGCTCCTCGTGCACACAGGCGTCTTCGGGGCAAATGAGGGGCTTCGCTCGCTATCTCGCGATCCTTCTGGCATCGGCTTGACTGTGCACCGTCAGTGCGTCGTGGCTGGGGTCATTCCGGGTCCTAGCTGGGCCCCACTCCACCGCGCCCTCCCGAGCCTCATCAGCAGGAGGCACCCGCACGCCATCGGCGCGTGGTGCCCAGGCCAATCCCTGTGTCTTGGCCGGTAATGGTGGTGGTGGTGTCCTCCCAGCCCCCCTTGGCGCCCCCCCACCAGCAGAAGGCACCAGCACGCCATCGGCGCGTGGTGGCCAGGGCAATGCTGGGCCCTGGCCGGGCAGGGTGCCAGGGGCATCAGTAGGAAGGGGAGGCTCGGTGGGGAATGTATCGACCCCCAATCGCCCATTCATCGCCGATGGGTGCCCGATGGCCGACCCCGCCCAGGGACCTGCGGATGCGCTGTCGGGGGCCTGTCGCCGATAGATCGGCGATGTGCAGTCGAGTTTGACGAGTAGGTCGACCCTGCCAGAGCAAGGGTGCCCTTGTGTCCTGTGTCTTGCGGCCAATGCCTTCGGCATTCCTGTGGCAGTGTGGCCCTCGGAAGGGGGTCTTGCGTCCGCTCGCATGTCCTCTTCAACTGAACTCGGCTGTAGTGTTCACGGGACGCGGGGCGCGGGCAAGCGCGCAGCAGGGGACGCTCCCCAGATGTCCCGATCCCACGCCACGGATGTGATACCGCGGCGGCGCCGCCATGCACAAGGATGGTCCCAAGCATGGAAGGAGCATGCACTCGCTTTGATCCCCTCTTGCCCCATTCTCGAGGGTGGCCTCTCGCGTGTCCTCCGCAATCGAGTTCGACTGTATCGCCGATTCCCGCTCACCCTCCGGATCTTCGCATCCAACTTCTGTCCAAGGCGTTCCTTTTCCTGTGCAAGCTCCTCGGCACCGCCTGCACCCCAGCCCGTCCTCCGGCCGCCTGAGGCCCCGCCCGCCTGTGCTCTGTCTCCCCAATTAGAGCTGTGCGTAGCCCGCCTAGCTTGTAACCGGAAGAGGTTCGCTCTCGCCCCGCAGACCAAAACTGTATCGCCGACTCCAGGTCGTTCCCCCTCTGTGCCCGTCCCCCCCCCCAAAAAAAATACCACCCGAGGTGTCCACCGTCGGGCGCAGGGGCCGCGGATGGCCGACTGGCCCGGGTGCCGCTGAAGGAAACATCGCGCAGCCTGCGTGTCGCCCTCGTCGTCGTCGTCGTCGTGTTGTCGTCGTTGTCGTCGCCGTCGTCGTCGTCGTCGTCGATGGAGAGGGGGGGGGGGCTGGAGGGGGGCAGGATGGGGAGGGGTTCGGGGAAGATGAGGAGGAGGAGGAGGAGGAGGAGGAGGAGGAGGAGGAGGAGGAGGAGGAGGGAGGAGGAGAGGAGGGGGAGGGAGGAGGAGGGGAAGGGGAGGGGAGGAGGAGGAGGAGCGGAGGAGGAGGAGGAGGAGGAGGACGATATGGGGGGATAGGCATAGGGGTGGGGTGCATCGACCCCCAATCGCCCATTCATCGCCGAAGGGGCCCGGTAGCCCAAACCTGCCCAGGAACTTCCGTTTTCGCTATCGGGGACCCATCGCCGATCTATTGGCGATGCATCGCCGATTCTAGGTCGACGATGCCAGTCCCTCCCTCTCGTTGCCCCTGAGGAATTTGGGGAGGGGGGCGAAGCGGAGGATCGACACAGATAAGAGGGCGCGCCGAGTTCGGAGACGGGAAGGGCGGCAGCGGCGAGAGAAGCAGAGAGAGCACAACCCCAAATCAACGCAACCTTGGGCGACGGGCTCGCGACCCAGGGCGGCGCCTGCCGCCCATCACGGCCAGCTCGCGGCCGAAGGCGACGGGCCAGGAGGACAGGGAAAGGCGTTCTGGATGCTGGATGCGGCTGCCTCCAGAGAGGCAGGCCCGAGAAGTGGCAAGGCTGGAGCGGCCGAGATGGGCTCAAGGTTTGGGCTCCCGCTGTCCGCACGTAGCCTCTTTGGCTCCAAGCCGTCTCGACAGCCCCTCGGCCACGCGCTTGCTTGCCCAGCCTCCGCCGGAAAAAAAGCCCGGCCGATCAGAGATGGCCCGCTCCGCCCTCGCCGCCGCCTGCGTGCTCGCAGCCCTGGCCTGCGCCGTCTACCGTGGAGCCCGCGCCTTTGTACCCGCGCCGCAGAGCCCCGCCCTGCGCGGCGATGCGCTGGCGGCTGCCGGCATCCTCGCCGCCGCCACGCCCGAGGCGGCCAACGCGTTCACGTACAACGGCAAGGAGTACTTCGACGTCTTTTACGGCATCAGCCCGCTGTATTGGGCCGTGTGCGCGTTCGGCATCGTCTTCTACGGCGCCGTGCTGAAGAACGCCGCGCTCAAGTACAACACGCCCTACGGCACCACCACCAACCCGGACGCCAAGCCAGTGGTCACCGGCAAGTTCGTGGGCATGGAGGTTGAGACCAACCAGACCGAGAACTACAACTACAAGGGGAAGGACTACATCAACAAGTAGAGGGCCCGCGGGAGGGGGACGCCACCCCTGGGGGCGCCGGGCTTCCGGCTCGATGCGTGAAGGTCGACCGTCCCTCCGTGCCGCGAGCTCCCGACTGGCGGGCCGCGGAGGAGGCGCATCTCCGGCTCGCGTTCTCGAGGCGAGCTCTCGTTTTTTTTTTGCCAGCGATTGGCCGCCGTCTGGCCGCTCCGCACAACAACGATGAGTCGAGAACGACGAGGAGATCGAGACGGAGGTCCGTCGTCGTTTTCGGCCCTGCGGGGCCCTCGAGCAGAATCAAGGCCTCGGGCGTCTCGAAGGAGATCGAGACGGAGGTTTGTCGTCGTTTTCGGCCCTGCGGGGCCCTCGAGCAAAATCAAGACCTCGGGCGTCTCGAAGGAGATCGAGACGGAGGTTTGTCGTCGTTTTCGGCCCTTCGGGGCCCTCGAGCGAAATCAAGACCTCGGGCGTCTCGGAGAAGATCGAGACGGAGGTTTGTCGTCGTTTTCGGCCCTTCGGGGCCCTCGAACAAAATCAAGACCTCGGGCGTCTCGGAGAAGATCGAGACGGAGGCCTCTTCGGGGCCCTCGCCAGGCCTCGGGAGCGTCAAGAAACGACTCGGGATAAAAGCCGGTCCCGGGAAAGCGGTCGGGAGACAGGGGGCTGGTGTCTCGAAAGAATCGAGACGTCGGATGTCTGGGACCTCAAGACGACGCCAGGACCAGGACTAAATCGGACCAGGATGAATCGGGGATCTCTGAGATCTGGAGGTTCCGGAGGATGAATTGGGCGCCGCGGCCATTCCAGAGCGCTCTGAGAGCGTGCCCGAACGCTCTGGAACGTTTTGCTTCGCGTGTCGCGGCGGCGGTCCTGGGCAAGCGGACGGGAGGTCGGGGGCCGGTGTCTCGAAACAATTGGGACGTCGGATGGCTTAAAACGACGCGAAGATCGGGACAAAATCGGATCGGGATAACTCGAAATCTCTGAGAATCCGCGGGTTTGGAGGATGTATTTGCTGCCGCGGCCGCTCCAGAGCGTTCCGGAACGCTCTGAGAGCGCTCCGGAACGCTCTGGAGCGATTTATCCCGATCCTAGCCCTGTTTTATGGCTGGGTACGGCGAAGCACCGCCGCCGGCTGCCGTTTGGAAGCGCCTATGTGTGGCATAACGTTGCGGCCAGAGCTCGGCCAAGCTGTCGGGCGGTGTGCTCCCCCGGGCCGTTGTGGAGACCCTCGAGGGAGGCGTCGCCCGATATCGGAGACGCTTGCGGCGAATCGCCGCCGCGCCCTGCCCTTGTCTTGGGTGTTGCTGAAAGTGCCCCTGGCCCAAGGTGCCCCCTGTTTTTCGACGTTGCGGTGAGAGCTCGGCCAAGTTGTCGGACTGTGTGCTGGCCTGAGCCGTTGTGGAAACCCGTCGGGGAGCACGTGGGGGAGAAAGAAGGAAAGGAGGAGAGAGAAAAAGAGAGAGAGAGAGAGAGGAAAAAGAAGGAGGAGGAGGAGGAGGAGGAGGAGGAGCAGGAGGCCTTTGGGGAGCCACCTGGGGCTCCTTGGAGCTTCCTGGGGGCCTCTTGGATGCCTCTCGGGGGCTCCCTTGAGCCTCTTGTAGGCCTTTGGAGGCGTCTTGGGAGGCCCTTCGGCAGTGTGAATGCGTTCCTGGCCCGCCTGACCCCGTCGGAAGCCGTCTTGGGGGCCTCTCTGGGCCGACTTGGGGCCGTCTTGGATCGCTTCAGGTTCGTTTTGGAGGCAATCTTGGGCGTCTTGGAGTTCTTCTGGGCCGTCTTGGGGCGATCTAGGGACCGTCTTTGGGGGCATCTTGGGCCGTCACGGGGCCATCCTGGAGGCCGTCTGGCTGATTTTAGGGGATCTTCGGGGCCTCTTGGGCCGTCTTGGACTGCTGGAAGGCCGAACAGAAGCGAATACCCAAATCCTTCCAACACCCAAGGGCAAGCAATGGTGTTTGCCCCTTCTGGTCTGAGAGAGGGTCTTGGAAGTGGTCCTGGAACGGCTCTGGTGATCAGGGTCCCGTGCACGGGCGGGGTATAGGCATGGGGTGGGGGACGCTGGTAGGAGGAGGAGGAGGAGGAGGAGGAGGAGGGGGAGGAGGAGGAGGAGGAGGAGGAGGAGGAGGAGGAGGAGGAGGAGGAGGAGGAGGAGGAGGAGGAAGAAGAGGAGGAGGCGAGCGGGGGGAGTGTGGAGGGGATCGTTTCTCCTCTCACTGTGTGAAACTTCAGCATTTGAGTCGGTTCAGTTGCCGAGGGTCTTCAACAATTATTGTATGCCTGGGGTGGCCCAGGCTGGTGGTCAAATTTACCTCGTATTGTAAACAGGCAGCCCGTTTTTAGGGTTTGGTCGGGTCAGCCCGCCGCCATGGGCACGCGCGCGCGCATGCTGCACCGAACTGCACAGGCGAGTTCAACCGTTACACACCAGAGGGGGGGCGACGGCGGAGCGACAGGTGGAGGGCAGAAGGGAGGGACGGATGGGGTGGGTGGGTGGGGGCGGGCAGAGCGGGGAGCAGCGCGGCAGCGGGGGGTGAGGGGAGGGGAGAGAGGGCGGATGGGGGAGGAGCGGAGGGCGCAGGGGAGGGGAGGGCATGCCCGGGGGCGGGGAGCCAGAGGGCAGCGGGCCTCCGCAGGGCGCCGCCGCCCCACGGGCGCGCGCGGCGCGCCGGGCCGGGCGCGGCACCCCGCCCCTTCCCCCCCTCCCGCGCGCCAACGCGCCCGCGGGGGGGGGGGGGGGGGCGGGCACATGGCCGCGCGCGCCCCGAGGCGGCCCGCCGCCCTCGGCCGTCCTCGCCCTCGGGCCTCACGAGCCCCCTCGCCGCTCCGCGCGGCGCCCCCTGCGCTCCGCTGCTGCTGCCCCCCGCGCCCCCCTTCGCCGTCTCCTCCTCCTCCCTCGCTCCCCTCGCTCTCCCTCCCTCGCCCTCTTCGCCGTTTTTCCTCCTCCTCCTCCTCCTCCTCCTCCTCCTCCTCCTCCTCCTCCTCCTCCTCCTCCTTCTCTTCCTCCTCCTCCCCCTCCTCCTCCTCCTCCTCCTCCTTCTGCTTCTCCCCGCTCTTTTCCTCTCCCCCCTCGCCCCCACCCCAGCACCCCCTCCCCTTGCACATCCCCCTTTTCCGCCATTTCTTTTGCCTCGCGCAATCGTGCAGCGGAAGCCCGTCCTGACCAGGTCCGCCTCCTCCTCCTCCTCATCATCATCATCCTTGTCATTCTCTCCTCGCCATTCTCGTTCTGCTCGCAGTCTCTCCCGGGAAGAGGACGAGCAGGAGAAGGAGGAAGGAAGGAAGGAAGGAAGGAAGGAAGGGATGAGGAGGGGGGGGCCAGAGTGACGAGGGAAAGAATGTGGGGAAGGAAGGAGCAGGGGAAGGAGGGGAGGACGAGGAGGGGGCGGGGAGGAGGAGGAGTGGGGAGGGCGGGAGCTGGAGGCTGGAGGCTGGAGCTGGCGCGCCCCCCTTCCCCCGCAGCCCCCCGCCTCCCCGCCGCGCAGCCCCGTGCCGCGCCTGGACTGCGGCGCCGGCGCGCCGCCGGGCGTGCCGCTGCGCGTGGTGGAGCAGTGGCCGGGTGCTGCCCAGGGCCCGCGGGGGGGGGGTGCGGGGGGAGCAGCCCGCGGGGGCCCCTTTGCCGCCCACGCTCCTCCTCTGCAGTGGCAACGCTCGGAGGGGGCATTCAGCTATATATCTACATATACATATGTATATATATATATACATATATACAAGACTTGAAGCTCGCTGCGCTTCGCTTCGAAGTCTTGGTGTAGTGCATTGTCAGGGGCAAAGGGGGGGAGGACAAACAGGCGTATTGGGCCGAGGCGCAGCTACATGGTGCAGGCCAATGGGGCTGCAAGAAACGGCAAAGCACGTGGGGTGATGGAAACAGGGGTGCGCGTTCGACGACGGCGACGACGACGACGACGTTGTCGTCGCCGTCGTCGCCGTCGTCGGTCATCTGGAAGTGGCCCGCGGTTTTCTGGAACAGTGTTGAGGGCCTTTCGGCATTTGGGTTGGTTTGGGTCGACGTTGCCGTCGTCTTTGTTCGGTTTCGGAAGGGCCACATGGAGCCCCATAGACGAATCTGCCTTGTGCCTCGGAACGTGCGATGCAAAGGCTTAGCCAGGGAACTGTTCCAAAAATCTCTCCGTCATTTTTTGTCGTCCGCTGTTTGCCTCCTGGTTGAGTGTTCTGCATTGGCTGGGATGGTGTCCTACTGCATGGTGTGCGAGACGAGTGCAGCCTTGGTTGTCAGAGTTTGTCATGTCACCGTTCGCTCTTGGCAGCCTTGGTGTGAAGAGCTTTTACGTTACCGATCGCTATTTTCTTTGGCGTCTATGGGCCTTCTTAGTGCTCCTTGTCGGGTTGATTTGGGGGCTACCGATCGCTCTTTTCTTTGGCGTCTCTGGGCTCCTTTAGTGGTTTTCGGAATATGTTGGGGGTCTTTGGCCTATTTGGGACCCTTTTGGGCCGTCTTGGGGCGCTTTTGGGCCGTCTCGGGGCGTCTTGGAGGCCATGACTCGTCTTGGGGCTCTCTTGGTGGCTCCCTGGGGCCCTCCTGGGGCCCTCTTGGGGCCTCTTGGGGCTGTCTTGGGGCCCTCTTGGGCCGTCTTGGGCGCCTCTTGGGCCGTCTTGGCGCCCTCTTGGGCCGTTTTGGGAAGCCTCTTTGGAGCCTCTTTGGAGCCTCTTGGCCCGTCTTGGGGCGGTCTTGGGGGCATCTTGGACCGTCGTCCGCCGTAAAGGGCGAAAAGTCGTATATGCTGAAAATATACGGTTCCCGAAAGGAAATCAATGATTTGGGCCTCTTGGGGCCCTCTTGGGAAGCTTCTTGGCCGCCTCTTGAGGCGTCTTGGAGGCCTCTTAGGCTGTCTCTGGGGCATCTTGGGCGACTGGGAATGATATTTGGGTGTTTCGGGGCCGTCGTGGACTGTTTCCAGTTTTCTCCTGGAGCCTATTTGGGGCCCTCAGGGACGGGCCAGAGAAGAGCCTCTGGGGCCTTTGGGACCGCCAGATTCTATTTGCGGGGGGGGATGGTGGCCATCCCTGGTGTGAGATAATTAAGATAGGAATATATATATATATATATATATACACATAAAGATGGGTCGGGAGGAGACTTGTGCATCCTCGCTCGCTGCCCCCACTCCCCCCCTCGTCGAGCCTCCCCCCACCATCGTCGCCCCTCGGAGGAGGAGGAGGCGGGCCGGCTCTGGGCGCGGTGGGCCTCGAAGAGGATCGGCCCGGCTGTGGGCGCGGTGGGCCTCCTCATGCGGGGGGAGAGGCAAGGGGCCGGCTGGCCACAACTGGGGGAGCTGTGGTCCTTACCCCCCTGGGGGACCCAGCGATTTCGACACCCTTCTCGAGAGATCGTCGATGCGGCGGGTTCCCCCAGGGGGGTAAGGGCCACAGCTCCCCCAGTTATGGCTGGTCGGAAGGGGCCGGCTGGCCCAGCCCCTCTGCCGCCCACTTCCCGTCCACGGCGGGGTCGCGTCGTGTCGATCCACGGCAGCCCTGCCGCCGGCGTTCCACGGAGAACGCCGCCGGCGACCCAGAATCGGCGATCTGGCGTGCCGTCAACGGCGGATCGTTCAAGGTTGAACGATCCACGCGGTGTCAGAAACCAGCGCCGACGGCGGCACGACGCGAGTCGCCCTCCCCCCTTTCCGCCGGGGCCGCGCTGGAAGGTTTGAGTTGTCGCCGGCGGGCTCCCGCGCAGGCCGGGCCCGGCCAGGCCGCCCGACCGGTTGTGCGGGCTGCCGGGCTCGCCCAGGCGCTAGGTCAGGCCCGAGGGGAGCGCAACGCCGGTCGTGTCTGCCAGCCTGCACGGCGCCCGCTGCTCTACTCTGCATCTGCGGGGGGCCGTGTCTGTCCAGTGGATGGCGGCTCTTTTCTGGTGCCCGACGTCGGACCTGCGCCGAATCCACGTCGGCAGGCCCGAGGGGAGCGCAGCGCCGGTCGTGCCTGCCAGTCTGCACGGCGCCCAGCCTCCTCTACGTTGCAACTTCGGGGGGCCGTGTCTGTCCAGTAAATGGGTGTCCTTTTCTGGTGCCCGACGTAATTATGTCCGACGCGGATTCGGCGCAGGTCCGATGAGGATTGGGCACATATTCGACGCGGAGTCGATCGACAAATTCGATATGGATTCGATGCGGATTCGCCGCGGATAGCGGCGGGATGGGACACGGTCCTCCGAGGATGCAACATAACCTCCTCTATCCTCCTCCCTCCCTGCCCTGTGCTCATCTTCCTCCCTCTGCCACTCCTTGTTCCCGCTCGCCAAACAACGTACCACGGTGGGGTCCGGGGCTCTGGTGGTGTGTCTGTGCGACGTTGCGGTTCTTTCGCAGCGTCAGAGCAATCGGAGGGACCGCGCGCGCTGGGGATGGGCAGTGCCGAGGCCTGGGGCGCGGGCCGCAGGGGCGGCCGGCCTCGTCGGGCGCCCGGCCGTGCGGGC